AGAGCCTATACTATGAACCCACTTTGGTTTCCTAAGAGGTTATAAAAGCTTTTAGGGGAAACACAGTGTGATGGTTTATCAACTACACGGATCTGGAACTACCTAGGAGACAGGCCTCCAGGCACACCTATGAGGGAGGGATTACTGAGCCTCTGGGCATGCCTAAAAGGGATTATACCTATTTAGGTAGGTTGAGGTAAAATGGTCCACACTGAAAGCAGGCGGCACCATTCCAAGTTTGGTACTGGAATGTATAAAGGAAAAAGGTGAGCCAAACACCAGCATCACGCTCTGCTTCCTGACTATGGATGCCATGTGACAGATGCTTCTAGTTCCTGCTGCCTTGACAACTTCAAGTTGGACCTTTGAACTGTGAGTGGAAATAAAATCTTTCTTCCTTGAGTTGCTTGTCAGAATATCTTATCATAGCAATACAAAAAGAAACTAAGGCACACAGTAAACAACAAAAGCAAGCAAACAAAAACCCTAAAGTGAGTGTGGCAACACATACCTGTAATCCCAGCACCAGAGAGGACTTGAGTTTTAGGCCAGCTTGGGCTATATAACAAGTCCCTGTCTCAAAAATAACTAACACCACAAATAATTTCAATGTCTGTGTCTCTCTTAGACAAATATACACACAAAGCACAGCATATTGAACCTGTCATTACATGAACACTGCTGTGCAAGAGGAAACTAAAATATGACACATGCTACAGCAAAGTTATCAAGCAAACACCTGAAACTTCAAAGACTATATTTAGTAAACAAGATAAATGAACAACTTTGCCTAAAACTTCTGAGGATGATATGTAAATCGCTACAAATTAAAAACATTAAATCTACTTTAGTAAACAAGAGCCTTACTGGCTCCCACCTGGCCATTGGTATCCAGTGGCAACAAAATCTAAGGGAAGAGGTTAATTTTCAAACTTCAGCCCCAGGGTGGGGACACAGCAAAATGGCAGAGCACCTGCCTAACAGGGGTGGAGGCTCTAGGTTCTGTGCCCAGTGCCACAAAAATTGTTTTTAAAAAACAAAAACTAGGCTGAGCACGGTGGTGTACCCTTTTGATTCCAGTAGTCAGGAGACAGAGGAAGGCAGATCTCTGTGAGTTCAAGGCCAGCTTGATCTATATAGCAAGCTCCAGGCCAGCCAAGGCTATATAGTGAGATCCTGTCTCAAAAAACAAATAAATACATAAAATAAAAGGCTAGGAACTAGAGAAATGGCTCAGGAAGAGCAGATGCCTAAGAGTTCAGGTCTCAGGACCCACCCCGGGCAGGCCACAACCATCTGCAAGGCAACTCCGGCTCCAGGGGATCTGCTGCTCTCTTCTGGACTTCTCGGGCACTACCATGTGCACGTAAATATGTATCCCATACAGACATATTTAAAAATAAATCTTCAAAAAAGTTGGCCTTTACTACATGAATGAGCTTCATACTGTTACCAGCACTCAGGCTAACAGGCTCTACACAGCTGAAATTAGTCAGTGAAAACCATTACACATGTAAATGACCATCTTATCCTGGTTTTCAAATGTCAAAATCTGAGATAACCTACAAAATCATCTCAGAAACTTGTGAGTCAGCTGAGATGTGGTCATGAACTTCAATCCTTCTCTTTTACTAATTGGCAAACTTGTCAAAAATAAAAACCTTCCATTTTTTTTTTT